GAGTAATAATTATAGTTTTTTTTTTTTGTATCATACAATAATTGTTATTAAATTAATAATTGTATTTTACATTAAATGGTATATAAAAGTTACATAAACTAAAAAAAATATATTTTTTTTTGTTCAAGTTATTTATTATATAATTAATATTATATATTTTTTATATTGTTTTTTATATAAACTAATTTGTTTTAATGTCGTAGTAAAATTTCTTAAAATCTCATAAGCAATTGTTATGATAAATTTAATATTCTTTCGCTAATTAATTGGTCATGATCACTCAAAATTTCACAAATTAAATATTTATTACATTATATGCAATCAAACAATTATGTAATATTTGTTTTAACCAATGATCAAATTTTAAAATACAATGCTATTATCTAACTTATAATTTTAATTTCATTTTCATACAAATAACATATAATACTTGACACGAGCATAAAATCTACAAACTCAAGAACTCCTTGACACGAGTATAAAATCTCTACAAAATCAATCTCTTATTCACATGAGAATAAGAGGTCTACAAGTCAAATATGAAGCTCCTTGACACGAGTATAAAATGTCTACAAAATAAATATATCTTTGATAAGTGAATAAAATATATATAAATCATAAGGCTCCTTGATACGAGTATAAACTATCTACAAATTTGAAGACTCCTATCTTCTTGCTTTAAGCAGAGGTTTAAATATGCTCGACACACAAGTATAAAATGTCCACAAATTCGAAGGTTCCTTGACCCAAATATAAAATGTTTACAAATTTGAAGGCTCCTCGTACTAGTATAAATGGTCAATAAATCATATATAGAAGTCTCTTTAGACACGAATAAAAAATGTCTTCAACTCAAATTAAATCAAAACTCCTTGACACGAGAATAAAATATTTACAAAATCAAGACGTCTTGACACGAGAATAAAAAGTCTACAAATTAAAAACTCCCTGATACGAGTGCAAACTATCTGCCAAGTCAAATCAAGAACTTATTAATACGAGTATAAACTATTTGTCAAATCAAATCAAAATTCTTTGATACGATTATTAGTTATCTATAAATCGGTTCAAATGAAAAACTCCTTGATACGAGTTTAAACTATCTACAAATCCAAATTTAAGAACTCATGGACATAACTACCTACATATCCCAACCAGATGTATAAGATTTTAAAAACTCATTCACTACCAAGACACTTTATCCGTGAACAAATACTTATTGTTCATCATTTCTCAATGACACATTTGACATTTTTATGTTCATAATAAATAAAAATATATATTATTGATTATATGAATCCATTGAGAGTAATATGATACGAGTGATTTTCACAACCCGCTTTAGTAATGCCATATTAAAACTATTTTAAAAAAATTACTAAAAGAAAAATTTCATATAAATCTTTTGGTGAGATTCAATTCCACAAATCTATTATATGAGATTCGATTGAATTCACCACAATCTAAAGGAAAATATAAAATCGTGCAATAATCAATGCAATTTTGTAAATTAAAAAAAATTACAAATTTTATATACGATGTATAAAATTAACTAGTACAATACCAATGTACGAGTGTTGGTAAAAAAACTAAATGTACAATAAAAAATAAAAAAACAAAATTATATATTTTGTTGAAGTTGGAATAAATAAATAAATAAATAAATAAAGAACAATTTATAACAATTTATAATAAATAACTACGTGAATTAACAATATTATTTTAAATTCTAAAAACTAATTTATATACGTCATTAGTTATGTTTATAATATTTTTATTTGAAACACATAAGGGAATCCCCCTATATATTAATACAGAACGCGCTAAGCCTACGTGGCTGCTTCTGGTGCTTCGAAATCCTATGTGGCAAAATTACATGCATCGTTATTAGGCTTGGGTAAATTTTAATTTAATTCCAAACCAAAAATAATTAGGTTCTGATTACCATAAATATGTTGATTATTTATGGTCATGTTACATGTATTAATTGTATTTTAATATAATTCCTTATATAACTATTGAATTGTATATATATTTTAAAAGTTAATAACTTTTATATTTTTTTTATCAATTTTACATATGTAATATATCAAATTAATATTTTTTTGATGATCTTCGATTTAACATCTATATTATATGTATAAAAAAAATAATTTATATTTATCTTTATAAAAATAATAAAATTATTTTTTAATATTAATTAGAAAAATAAAATTATTTATCAACTAATATATTTATATTTCAAGTAGTTATATGATGTAAGTTATAAAAACTAATATAATATAACACATGTAAGTCATAAGTAACACATATCATTCTATAATATATAGTAATATACTTTTTTTGTAAAAAAAGTAAACTAAATTTAATATAGTTTTCTCATTAATTTTAAACTTTAAGAATAATTTTTTAACAAGCATCCGTGTAATACACGGGTGTTGTACTAGTAACATGATCAAATCACAAAATTTGAAAAGTAATATTATATGCACATTAGAGAAAGAAGATAATAAATAGATATATATAGAATGATTTAAATATATTAAATATGTGTATATATATATATGGTAATATTTTTCATTTGGTAACATTTTTCATTTGTGCCATATTTTTATTATATTATTATACTTTTTGGACATTACAAGCATCGGGAACCTTATTCCTAATATCGATTGTAAAAAGAAAAGGAAAATAAAAAAGAAAAAGAAAAAGAAAATCAATTTGTATTGTATGTATACTAAAATAATCGTTACATAAATCGATCTGTACAATTCCAATATAAATTGGGTGCATTTTCACTTTATATAACTTATTAGCGTAAAATTAATTCATATAATTTATCATTATTACTATAAAATTCCAATCTATAAAACTCACAACTAAATAATGTTCATAAAATATCCATTCATATTTAATGAATTTATTATGTATTATTTTTTAATTGAGTAGCATCTTCAATATATACTTTCCTACGAAAGTTTTCATTCATCTATTCTATTTTTTCTAAATATCAAAATAGTATTTTATCATTTTTATCATATTATATCACATAATTTAAATATTAACAATACTTATTTATTTTCTCTTTTTTTATTTTTCTACCGGAGCATAAAATTGTTCGAATAAGAATGTAATTTCCAGGGATATTTGAAAGGGCACAACCATGCATGCAAATCATGCACAACATTTGGAGCGTGTAATATTTCGATCTTATCGTGATTGTAGTTATAATTATTATAAATCAAAATGCGATGAATTTTTTACAAACTGCAACATTAATATAAATATATATGAATTATGAAAGCGTAAAGATCCCTTATTTATTGATATCAATCTTATATTTATAAAATTTACGATGTACATAATATAATGATCTAAGGTGACATAATAATAAACTTATAACCACCATATCCATATTTTTCTACTTTGAACATTACTATACGCTCTTATTTAAAATATTGCTACTTAAAGCTATCTATGCAAGCTAGTATAAGTAAAAAAATGTAATTGAAATAGTTATTGGTGTAAAATGAGAACAATTTCATGTATGAAATTTCAGAGAATTGTCGATATTTTCTCAAATCCATTTTCTTAGCTCAAATGAAGAAGATGTACATGCAAATATGTACAGTACAATCTCATGCATACAACAAATAAACGACATCATTGTGTTTAACGCAAAATGATGTCGTAGCATCTTTAACAACTAAAAGGAAAAAACAACTAAATGGCATCGCTATGCCAGATAACGACGTCGTTAAACCTAATGCCTACAATTAAAAACGAGAAAGAAAAAGAAAAGCGATGCATGACTTCAAGCTTGAGCAACAACAACAATTACATAACATGATCTTCCACATCATCAACACTATCTTCATGCAGCTGTAACTCCATCTTCAACACCCTCCCCTCAAGTTGGGCCAGGATCAACAACAAGCATGCCAAACTTGGACACTAGTGAAGCAAAACGATGTCCAATTAAAACCTTTGTAAGCAAATCAACAAGTTGATGACAAGAAGGAACAAACTTAGGTGCAATGGATCCTTGCTTGAACTTGTTCCTGACAAGATGGAAATCAATCTCGAGATGTTTAGTTCTCTCGTAAAAAACAAGATTTGGTGTAGTAAGAGCTGCCTTGTTGTCCCACAAAAGATGTGTAGGAAAAGAAAATGTGATGTAAAACTATTGAGCAAGATAACCAATCCACATAAGCTCGGAAATGGTTGATCCCATGGCTGTATATTCTGCCTTAGCCGAGGACCTAAAAACGGTGTGTTGCTTTTTACTCTGCAAAAAGATCAGTGCATCACCCAAAAAGATGCGATGCCCAGTGATTGATATTCCAGCGTCATTGCAAGTTGCCTAGTTTGCATCACAAAATGCAAACTAGACAACTAAGAATGTGGAATGGTGCCACATCAGTCATGGTCATCCCAAGATATAGAAATCGAACTACTATCCTTATATATTGATTAGGTTGATCCATTGGTTTGCCTGTATGAATTTCTAACATCACACAAAGAGGTAAATGTATAGGTGTTGATGTGCACCCTAACATGTTCAAAGAATTTAACATCTCTGCTTATAAAACAATTCTTCGTTTCCAAATCCAACAAACGATACCCTTTTCTGTCCGAATTATTCTCCAAAAGGATGCATTTACTTCCCCTTGAATCATACTTAGATTTATAAGGTTGTACCCTGACAGCATATGCTAGACACCCAAATGGCTTGATTCTACCACAATTGAGGTTGCATGTCATATATCCTCTCAAATGGTGTTTTCCAATCCAAGAGTTGTGAAGGTAACCTGTTTATTATAAAGACTGCTGCCAATACTAAGTAAGGCCAAATAGGAAGTTTGACTTGAAACATTAAAGCTCTTCATATTTCAAGTAAATGTTTATGTTTCATTTATACAACACCATTTTGTTGTGGTGCATGTGTATATGCAAGTAGTCTCATGTACAATACCTTTGTTCTACATATATTTACTCAAAACTCCATCCCATTATCTGATCTTACCTTATTCACATGTGTATCAAACTGAGTTTCAATCATATGCATGAAACTGCTGAGATGCTTGACACTTTGGTTTTACGATTGAGCTTTCTTAACTCTCGCAGGATCGTAGTGCTCTAAATACCATGAAAATTGAGTATATTTTCTTGTATGAAATTTCAGAGAAGGATTGAGATTTTTTCAAATCAATTTTCTTAGCTCAAATGAAGAAGACGTACTGATGCAAATATGTACTGTACAATCTCATGCATACGACAACTAAACGACATCGTTGTGTTTAATACAAAACGACGTCATAATGCCTTTAACAACTAAAAGGAAAGATAAAACTAAACGACGACATGTTATAAAACGACGCCGTTCAACTTAAAGCCTAAAGCTAAAAACGAGAAAGAAAATAAAAAACATGGCACGACTTCAGGCTTGAAAAATAGCAACGAGTGTAATAGGATCTTCCACTTCACCTTCACCGTCTTCATGCAGCTGTAACTCCATCTTCAACAATTGGCGTGATTATAGTGAAAACGAAATAAAGCCATGTTTTATTTCGCATATGACATAAACATATCAAACATGTAAACGATTTTCGAAATTGTCAATTTCAAAGATGTATATCATACAAATGCAAATCTCATCCCAAAAATCCAAACCACATAGCACCCACTCAAATTTTGTAATTTGATAAGTTTTAATAATCATACACAAAAATTCCTTATGCTATTTTTATTTAATTTTTACAATTCATGGCTTGCCGTGTTAATTTTAAACTACATTCACACACAGAAGGAGATTTATCACTGCCTTCAAGTTATACATTAATACCAGTAATGTTCCCCTACCCACGGTGGGCACATGTTAATATGCCCACCACTTATGTGACATACATATATTGGTGATCGATGTATTTTTTTGAACATATTACATCATCAATGTGTGCATGCCACATAAGCGGTGGACATATTAACATGTGTCCACCGTGAATAGGGGAGCATTACTCACATTAATACTATATAAATTTTATCATATATAATTGGGTTTACCTCAACACTAAATCCAATTTAACTAGTAAAAATTATAAGCATCAAAATATTGAATACTAAAATTTTTTTACAATAATTTTATAGAGCACAAAATAGCATAAAAAAGTGAAAAATGCTATATGTATTATACCATGGGGGTTCAATTTTGCAAATTGGCACAAGTGGTGCACAACTTCAACTAGTCAATTTTAGTACAAACCCCAAACCTTATGCAATATGCCTATTTGAGATGCCCTCAAAAAGTAAAATTAATTTAATCCCGGTTAATAAATTATGAAATATATGATCTGAATATTAATTTCATCAATATAATATAAAACCATTTTTTAATCATATATCAATAAAATATGAAATAAGGTTAAGGAAAATTAATGGAGTATGAAATGCACAATATGCAACTTCAAAGTTAGTAAATTAATTATCTTATATTGTAGTCCTTTCATATGAGAAATTATATCAAAAATATTTTCTTGAGAAAAATAAATGAAGATGTTTTTCCTTTTTAGTAATTTCATCCCACCTATATATAAATAGAGTTTTATGAGCCTAAGTATATCAAATTTCAATATTCTGTAATCATAAGTAGGCACTTTGGAATTCTATGTACAAAAATTTGATAATTCGAAATAGTGGTGTATGTAAAATATTTATCCATGTCTATTAGTCATTTAAAGTTATAAAAATTCTTAAGTTATAAGAATATTTTAAAATATAATAACTTTTTATTTTTATTTTTTTGTCAGTTTTTGACATATGATATGTCAAATTAACCATTTTTTACCATTTTCGATTAATTTATATTAGATGTATAAAACAAAAAAAAAAAGTAATATCTAATTTTATAAATTAAAAATAAATTATACATCAACTCCAATTGAAAATTAATAAAAATATATTTTGTCAACTAAATAAATTAATCTATCAAAACATCTTGTGAGAAGAGAATTTCAAGTAAAAAAATTGATCCATGTATATCCTTTTAAATAAAAAAATTTATTACATTTACGGATTTTTTTTTTTTTGAAAAATCTAGTTTTTAATTATTAAGTATAAAAAAGTGGGAGATGCTACGGTCCCGTTACGAAACCATTCCGTAGGAGTTTGTAACCATTATATCAACTATCCCAACGATTACATGATGATCTAACCAAATCCCGACAGAATGGTTACTGATACATTGTATTGGTAATAGTATTACATACTACATTCCAAAAAAAGCGGGGAAGAAGAGAGACTATAAAAGGGAAATTACAGCAATTTTATCAAATTTATCAAATCGAAATAAAATAATAGGATTCCGTTTGAGATGGTTTTCATTCTTTTTTCCGCTGCCAATTTGAAGAGCGCTAAAAAAAACTTTCTCACTCTACTCTACACACTCCAAACCCACAAAGCTCATCACTTTCCAAAAGCAAGAAATTACACACAACAGATTATCACTATCTCTCGATTTATATTACAAGGCAAATGCTCATAAATTCACCTCCCCCTTCATCAAATCTCGAAACCAAAAACTGGGTTTGCATATGCCATCAAGAATTTCGCCCAGGTTTGCGAGACTCTGCTCTGTGTTTTTATGTGTGTTTTGTTTCCCCTCATTGATTATGCCCCTGTTTCGAAAAATTCTGCTGGTTTTCTGTAGCAAGGATCGTTTTCTGTTTCTGTTATTAGGGTTTTGATAAAGATTTAGTCTTGTTTAATGGGTATCACTAGGTTTCTGATAGTAAGAAGAATCGTTGAGGTGTTCTTGATTGTAGCTCTTTGATGGCAGGGATCTCTGCAGGTTGTTTTTGTTGTGCGTCGAGGGTTTTGAGATATATGTGCTGTATATGTGTTGTTGTTGTATAATTGTATAAATAAAGCATGGCTCTGGTCACAACTGCACAGTCGATACGGTACATGACTGCAGGACCTCCAGCTGGCGCTGGTGACTTGGATGCTCTCAACCGTGTCCTGGCTGACCTATGTTCTCGTGGAATTCCCAAGGTTTGAATTTATCAGTTTCAGTATTTGTTTATTTATTTTTTTCAATTTATCTTATGATATCATCATGTATTTGTGCTTTATTTTGGCCAAAGATGGTATTTAGCTGTTTAGGAATCATGGATGGATCCAGGAAGTCGTCACGCTTCAACTACTGGCATGAAATAAATTTATTCACCAAACTACGTCGAGAGATAATTAATGCGTTCACGAATAATCCTATATTTCAAGAATTAGCAATAAATCGTAAAAGAAAAAAAGGAAAAAAAAAACCGTGGGTCCCACGTACCCCATTTTAGGTGTAGTGGGTCCGACCTCCGACGTGGTTTGGAGTTGGCGTATAAGTTGCGGAAGTAGTGGGTTTAGGCAACTAATGCCAGCTGTGAGTCTTACTTATTGCACAGGCAGGATACTGCGTATTTCTTTGTCGTTTGCTTTCTTGACCATTTTAAATCGGCGTGGTTCGAAACCACTTGCAGCAGGAAAGAACTGATTTTCGATTGCTTGAGTTTAGGTGTGTTTATCTATGGTGATGTTGTTCAGTCTTTACTACATCAAAAGATAGCCTTGTGCATGGGCGGTTTATGAATTATTTTATGCTCAAATCATTTTGTGATGGTCATTTGAATTGTTAAGGTTGTTGTACTAGATGTTTATTATTATTGCTTTCAACTGCAAGCTTAAATTAATCTGCAGGACGGGGCTGCTTTGGCGTTGAGAAGACACGTGGAGGAAGGAGCTCGTGACCTCAGCGGCGAAGCATTTTCCCGTTTTATGGATCAGCTGTATGATCGTATCACCAGTCTCTTGGAGAGCAATGATGTTTCTGAAAATTTGGGTGCTTTGAGGGCCATTGATGAGCTTATAGATGTAGCAATCGAGGAGAATGCTGTGAATGTTTCAAAGATTGCAACTTACATGCGAACAGCATTCGAGGCCAAACGTGAACCTGAAACGTTGGTAGTTGCCAGTAAAGTTCTGGGGCACTTAGCCAGGGCAGGTGGAGCAATGACAGCAGATGAAGTGGAGCGGCTGGTACATTGGACTTTTTTAATGCTCTTGGCAGCAAGATGGTAATTTTTTTTTGACTGTCGATCTATGATTTTCAGGTAAAAATTGCACTGGATTGGCTTGGTGGGGATAGAATTGAATACCGGCGTTTAGCTGCGGTTTTAATTTTAAAAGTAAGTTCCCTTTTCAGATCTACTTGATTATCCTAATTGTGTTCGAGTCTGTTAGCTTGCAGCCGCAACAAGATCTACACCTTTTACGTAACTTTCATTAAAGATGAGATTGAGTCAAACACATTTTGACCTAAAGAGGCATTATGGAATCATTTTCAAAAAAACAAGGAAAAGCTTAGTTCTTGTTTGCTTTACACTCATTTCAGCTTGTGTCAACTTTTACATTACTATTCAAGTTTCAACATCCATTTTTTATTATTATTATTATTATTATTATTATTATTATTATTATTATTATTATTATTATTATTATTATTATTATATACACTTTTTGTCTTACCTATTATGCTTCTTCTTCAACTGTGTTATTTTAATTTTTTTTTTTCATCTCTTAATATCAAAATTCTAAATGTATTTTTGTTGCTTGATGTCACACACCTGGTTTGTTTAGTATTAATGTCACCAGCTTTAGCAAAGTCGAATTATTTTTCCTTTCATAGAGTTGTGGTAAAACTGTGCATGATACTATAACAAAGTGCTGAAGACCTCAGCATTGACCACATGTCAGCAAAATGAAAAGGTCTTTACCTAAGAGAAAGGTAGAAAATAAAACAATGCTAAACAATCTTAGTCTTCCGTAAAATTTTTGGTGAAGCAAGAGGAAACTACAGTACAGAGCCTCATAGGTTTCTATATGTTCCAAAGTCTATCTTGCTTGAAAGTAACTATTAACTTTGATGACTAAGCTCCAATAAAATTTATACGCATCTGATGGGCGTCCTGGTCGTTCCACTCAGCGACTGTTTAAGTTCGCAATTATGGCTTCAGTGCCGTGATTTCATAATTTTGCTTTTTATTTATACCTTACCAGTCTTTCTTGATCTGCTTCACCAAGATGAATTGAAAGTGAAAAGACATCCTTATTAATTAAGATTTTGAATGGCCTAGCAGTTACTCCTCTGGAAGTTTTTCTCGTTGTTGGTCCTTTAGTCCTTGAGGTGTTGAAAAAGTTCCTTGTATTTGTCCTAGGAAATGGCTGAGAATGCTTCAACAGTTTTCAATGTGCACGTTCCTGAGTTTGTGGAAGCTATTTGGGTTGCTCTGAGAGATCCAAAGTTGAATATTCGGGAGAGAGCTGTGGAGGCATTGCGTGCCTGCCTTTGGGTCATTGAGAAGCGTGAAACTCGATGGCGTGTGCAGTGGTAAGTGTAGTTTATATGGTGTTATTACTAGCAGTTCATTAGAATATAATTTTTCTCCCATGCTCGTTGTTTCGAATTAATTTCCTTAGGTTAATAGTTGCTTTTTCCTTGTAGAGTGTGGAGTGTCAGTCTTACACAATGGTGAATTCTGGTGCTTATTACTTTGTCTGGCTTTTATTACGTGGCTTGTATTTATTTATTTATATTTTATATGTTTAAAAGTTCACAACCTATCTCGACTTTGGTATTTTCTTACTTGATGATCCATGGGGCTAAATGTTTAATGTCCTCACATCTTGACTCTCAACACTTATTTGTGTTCCCTTCCAGATTTTGGAACTGATCCTGTTAAATGTTTTAAAGGTTTTGACATTATCGTTATTCATTCTCTTGTGAATAGTTCTTTTCAGTAAGATTTTGGGGCTGTAGTAATTGGTGAAACATGAATTGGGGCTGTAATGAATTAATAATGAATTAGATGAACCTCTGGTGAAATAGTAGGTAAAATTTAGTTTCTATACTTAGTATATGTTTATATATGTAATTTGTGTTTTTTTTTTTTTTTTTTTTT